ACCTGCCTTTATAGTGATTCCTGGCCTTGATAAACCTTCATGCCTCACCTTTGCAGCAGGTTCTCCCTACTTGGGAATAAAAGTTGTGGAGGTGGAAAAAAAAAAAAATTCTGCTTACACTCATTTAAATGACTTAGTTGTCAAAAACACTTGGAGATGCTATTATGTAGAGAAACAATAGCCCTCACATAAGAAGAAAGCCTTGGGCTAGGGTTGTGGCTCAGAAGTAGAGTGCTCACCCAGCATGTTAGGAGGCACTGGATTAGATCCTCAGTACCACATAAAAATAAAATAAAGATACTGTGTCCACCAATAACTAAAAAATAAATATTAAAAAAAGAAGAAGAAAGCCTTGTGATGACTGCATTAGCTCACGGTAATCACTAGTAAGACAATAATTTTTGCAGTGAGACACAGTATGATCCAACTAAGCAAGCATTTCATGTTTGTATCCTCTGAACTTTGGCTTCTTTACCTGAGATATGGGAGGGGGGGGGATCTGCATAAATAAAGTTTACTTTAGAAAGCAATATTTATAAGCTTTAGCTGTCATTTCAAGAACTGGTATTTTAAGGAGACAGAAATAGAGATAAAGGGAATCTACCATGTCTAAGCTTCAACAATAATAAAAAATTAATTAAGCCAGGCATGATGGCATGCACCTATATAGTCCCTGCTTCTCATGAGGCTGAGGCAGGAGGATCACTTAAGCTCAGAAATTGAAGACATGACTGGATAATATAGTAAGACCCATCAAAAAAAATTAAATTAGTTAATAGCATTAAATTCCTGATTTCCTGGCTTAATTTTGGGATCATACTATTGAACTGAGGCACTATAATTCTGAATTTTTTGATGCTCTGTAGATGTGGAAAGACATACTGTTAGCTAAAATTAAAGCTTTGATCAACCATTCAGTGATAGAAACAGAGTTTGAATTCTTGACTGTTCCTCATCTATTGCTAATTCACTAGGGCTGATAACATCTCACAATTATATACAGGTGGGCCGAGGTTGTTTTTTTTTCCCCTGAGAATCGAACTCAGGAGTGCTGAGCTACATCCTCAATTTTTTTTTTGGGGGGGCTGGGGGCATACTGGGATTGAACTCAGGGGCATTTGACCACTGAGCCACATCCCGAGCCCTATTTTGTATTTTATTTAGAGACAGGATCTCACTGAGTTGCTTGGCATCTCTCTTTTGAGGCTGACTCTGAACTTGCAATCCTCCTGTCTCAGCCTCCTAGCCACTGGGATTACAGGCATATGCCACGGTGCCTGGCATATCCCCAGTCATTTTCATCTTTATTTTTTAAATTTTGAGACAGGGTCTACGTTGCTCAGGTTGGATTCTAAATAATAATCTTCCTGCCTCAGCCTCTCAAGTTGCTGGAATTATAGGTGTGTGCCACTGTGCCCAGCCACTTGGGTCTCAGTTAAAAAACACAATGTGTTACTGAAAATCATGACGAAATTGGAAGTCAGGGAAATAAGCTGGGGTGTTCCTGGGCTCTTTTGGTGGAAAGAGTCAAGTGAATGGATAAAAGCAGAAAGGGGCACAACATAAAAAGGCAGCACTGAACAAGCAGAGCAACGTCTTAGCTAGTATAAGCACAGACTACTTATCTTTCCTGGGCCAGAGGTTCCCCAACTTCTTTCCTACTTATACAACCTGTCTCTATTAATGTAACGATGAATGGAGTGATAAGGGAGTCATAGACACCAGGTGCCCCTGGCCCATTTAGATCACACACATTCCAAGTGCGGAGGACCAAGTCAGTGTAAGAAAAATGCTTTGTTCCTTCATATCATCTCTCAACAAATGAAGTACTGGGTACTTAGGGGAAAGCAATGAGGAAGATAGACCTACTCTGTTCTCATGGAGTTCAGAGTCTGCTGGGAAAAACAGGCTTTAATCAAATACCCACACAATCATGTAGTAAGACCTTTGAAAGAAAAATATAAGTTGTAACTAAAGTATGAAGCAGAGGAGATCACAGGAAATTCCCGAAGGAAATGATATTTGAGCCAGAACTGACGGATGCCCCAGAACTAAATATGTGAGGTGGATTAGAAGAATGGGGTAGGGAAGAGCTTTTTAGGCAGAGGAAATAGCATGTTTGTCATTTGTTCAAAAATCATATGCTGAGCATCTACTCTATTCCAGGCATCCTTCCTTGCACCAGGGATGCAACAGAAGAAAGAAAGGCAAAGAAGCGAGGCACTGTGTGCAAATAAAGTTTAGGAACTAGGATGGGCTGAGAGTGAGTATGGGGAAGTCTTCTTTATATAGAGTGATCAAATAAGGCCCCTTTCGGGAGGTAATAGTAGAGCAGAGATGTAAATAAGGAGAAGGAGCTAATCAGACAAAAATTGAGAATGAATATTCCCAGCAGAGGGATCTGGTGCAAAGGCTGGACAGAGCTAGTGAGTCTGAAGGATAGAGGATGACACTGGGCATGAGGTAGAGAAGTAGCAGGAGCCCAATCATATAGCCTTTAGTCGGCCATCAGGTTTTCTTCTTATTGCAAGTAAGCATTCATTGGGGGTTTTACACAGTGAAATGACAAGATCTCATTTTTTTTTTTTTTTAAGTAGACACTGGATCTTGTTCTGTTGCCCAGGTTGCCTGGCCTTGAATTCGAAATTGAACTCCTGGGTTCAGATGATCCTCCTTCCTCAGCCTTCCAAATTGCTGGGACTATAGCTGCATGCCTAACATAGTCTTCTAAAGTATCATTCCACAGCCATGGAAAGAATGGACCACACTGGAAGCAAGAAGACCAGTTTGCAAGGCTGCTGCAGTATTCCAGGCATGGGGACTGAGAGGGACTGCAGTAAGCTGGTGACGTGGATAGAGAAAAGTCTCCAGATTCAGAACACAGGAGAGAGTGAGCCAAGAGAAACTGTTGAGAGAGTGGAAGTGAGGGTGAGGGGAGTACAGGAACCAGGGACCATGCACTTTTTGGCCTGAGCCACTGCAAAGCTGGTGCTGCCAATAACTAAGATGGGGAACACTTGTGTAGTGCTGAGGGCACAGATGCTGGACCTGACAATCCTGAGCTCAAGTCCAGGCTACACCACTTGGAAGTACTACTGAACTTTTCAGTACTTTTAAAATTGCCTCAGTTCTCTTCTCTGCAACACAGAGGGACACTGACACCTGGCTCACAGAGCTGTCAGGAGGACTAAATGAGATAATGTACATTAGACATAAGAAAAGCAGTTTAATACACCATCTGGCACACAGGGGAAAGATC